AAAGCTCAATAAAACAGTTGGCAGATAAGCACACAAAAAGATGTTCAGCGTCATCAGGTACTTGGCAAAGGCAAAGCCATAATGTAACTGCACAAACCTGTTAGAAAGACTAAAGTACTATCATATCAAGTGCTAGCAGTAATGTGGAGCAGCCGGAACTCAGGCACTAGTGATGGGAATGTAGCATGGTACAGCTACAGTTTTGTAAAAAGTTAAACATACACCTACGCTACCATACAGCCATTACACTCCCAGGTATTAACCCTGGGGAGAAGTCTACATCCAGGGAGGTGGTCAGCTTTCTGCCACTGTGACAAAATACCTGAGATCATAACTTTTAAGGAGGAAAGGTTTATTTACTCTGGAGATTTCAGTCTCTGGTTGGTTGTCCTGTTGCTCTTGGGCCTGGGGGAAGCTGTTCACCTCAGGGCTTCCAGGAAGCAAAGGGAGACAGGCAGGAAGGGGCTAGGATTCCATATCCAGACTACAGCATCCATACACAAAACTTGTATATGAATGTTTATAGCAATTTTTAATACCCCCAAACCATAAATATCTGAAATGTCTGTACATGGGCAAATAGATAAACCAATCAGGGTTTATGCATACAACTGGATCTGAGCAGTTTTAAAACATGATTTTTTTTTCAATACTGGGAATTGAACCCAGGAGTACTTTACACACTGAACTACATCCCTGTCCTTTAGTTTCTATTTTGAGACAGGGTCTCATTAAGTTTTTTAGAGCCTTGCTAGGTTGACAAGGCTGGCCTAGAAGTTGCAATCCTCCTGCCTCAGCCTCCCAAATTGCTGGAATTCAGGTGTTCACCACCACATAGCAAAAAATAAAGTGTTGATACACATAGTAATGTGGTTGAATCTCCAGTTGGTGGAGTTAAAGAAACCAAATAAAAGTCCATATAGTATGATTTAATTTATATAAAACTAGAAAATGTAAACAGTCTATACAAACATTCCAGTTTCCTGGGATGGGGATGAGGAGCTGGGAGTGACAGCAGAGAGGGGTCACAGAAAGGTGCAGGGAAGCGGGGGGTCATGGATAAGCCACCATCTTGGTGGTGGTGATAGTTTCATGGTGTGTAAGTGTACCCCTGTGTGTACCCATGCACAATGTCTAATATGATAATGTCTAGTCTTAAATCATGCACTCTCAATATGTGCAGTTAGTAAATTTCATTCATACCTCAATAAAAGAAGGAGTCTTTTTTCAATTAAAAAAAAAGAATTTCATCCCAAAGACTTAAGAATTAGTTTTCAAGGGAGAGAGAAGGGAAATTGCATGGAAATGAAAGGAGACCCTTAGGGTTATACAAAATTACATACAAGAGGAAGTGAGGGGAAAGGAAAAAATAATACAAGGGAGAGAAATATTACAGAAAGGAGAGGGGGTAGAGAGAGAAGAGGGGAGGGGAAGGGAAGGGAGGGGGGATAGTAGAGGATAGGAAAGGCAGCAGAATTCAACAGACACTAGTATGGCAATATGTAAATCAATGGAAGTGTAACTGATGTGATTCTACAAGCTGTATACGGGGTAAAAATGGGAGTTCATAACCCACTTGAATCAAAGTGTGAAATATGATATGTCAAGAACTATGTAATGTTTTGAACAACCAACAATAAAAAAAACTAAAAAAAAAAAAAGAATTAGTTTTCATATAAAATGTGTATCCTTAGTAAGCCAAAGAAATTGACCTGTTGGATATATAAAAAATTATCAAATGTTGGTGATTCACCTACTACATTCACTTAAGTGTTGAAATCATTGTCACTGAACTGCTTACTATGGAGCCAGTTGGTCCTCATTTTTCTTATGATCTCATCTCGTCAAAGACTATGCTATTAGTAGTAAGAACAATGGTCTCTCTATTGTTCTAGCAAAAAGAGGCACAATAAATTTACCTAAAAATCTGATTTTAGTGACACTAACGTTAATAAGTTCTGTTAAATCCCGGGGGCCAACCGGCCACGTGCTATTGTTACCAAGTATACATTCTTTCAAACAATACAGTATGTCAATATGCTATCTAAAGCAATTATGTTAACTCTAAGTTTAGTAGGTTCCCCAAAGTACAATTTCTTATGATGTGAATTGAAATTATAGGTTTTGATTTTTAAATATTTGTGCCATTTCATTATAACATAGTGATAGATCAGTGTACACAGCGATTAATTTCAAGTTGCTTATGGCATGAGATAGATTAGGTTATAATAGTGATCAACAGCAGAATAACTGCCTCCTACCATGTTTTAGAAATTTAATGAAAGCAGGCCAACAGTGGAAATAGGATTCTCTACCACCACCCATCTTATGAAAGAAAAGGAAATGTCTTTATAGTAAGACTCTTTTTTGGCTCATCTTGAGGAAACTACTTATAGCATTAGGTAAAGTGAGCCAGAAAGGCTGAGGACAATATTGCTAAATATTTCCTTGTTGGAATATTTTTAATTGTATGATTTTTTTTTTTGAGCATTTTAAAGAGGCTTCAGTTACCAACTTCTTACTGTGCAGATCCTGCAAAATGCAGAGACCCACAGGAGACAGTACCTACTGGGACATCCACAGAGGCTTCTGACTGCAAATCCACATGGGGAGGGCAGTAACACCTTCAGCCCACCCCCGAATTCTAGATAAGTCACCAAGGCCTGCACTAGGGTACCTTTTCACATGGATGAGGAGTGAGGTTGTTTATGGAGTCTTGTTTATTAAGTCTTATGTTTGTTAACTCTGATGTATTTCCATTGAAATATTTTCCTTTCCTCCCCATTCTACCAGTTTTTAGTAAACAGAGACTAGGAAGGCTAGCTCTTTACTGTGGTTGAACATGGAGCAACCAACCTTATCTTGTCTGTCAGAGAACATGTGATTCAGAGGGAATCCTTTTAAAAACAGTCCATCTACAACTACAAAAAAAATTTTTTTAAAAAGATAGTTGTGGGATATAGTCAACTCAGACCTCCATGTACTCATTAGGAATGGAAGTGAATCCCCTCTACCCGCTCCTACCATGTGAAATTCAGAGTTACACTGATAAGCCTGAAAGATGAAGGGAGAGGGATTGTATTCAGGATAGTCTAGAATTTTGAACACTAGAGTGGAGAGATAAACTAAGGAACAGCATAATCATTGGTAATTCCCTTAAGCTCATCACAAATATTGCTTGGTTTACATTTTAAGGCTGCAGCAAGCAAATGTGTTGGGTCAAATATGGGGTTTGGGGGAGGCCAGAAATATGGTGCAGCAAAAAGAGCTTTAAGGGCAAGGAGACCTGGGTTCAAAGCTCAGAGAATCAAGCTTTACTAGCTTTGTGACTTTGTACAAGTTAGCTGACTTTCCAAACCTTATATTCCTCATCTATAGAGTTAACAATACCTAGCTAGGTGTGGTGGCACATGCCTGAAATCCCAGCAACTCGGAAGGCTGAGGCAGGAGGATTGCAAGTTTGAGGCCAGCCTCAGAAACTTAGCAAGGCCTTAAGCGACTTAGCAAGACCCTGTCTCAAAATCAAAAGGGATGGGGATGTAGCTCTGTGGATAGGTGCCTTTGGGTTCAGTCCCCAGTATCAAAAAACAAACAAAAAAGGACCGACCTCATCATGATTAGGTAAGCTAATGAGTGTGAAACTTCTGCTAGGCATGTAGAAATATTATAACAGCACTACAGTAGGTCTGAAGCACACAGAGACAAGACAAGGGGATTGTTCCAGCAGCCATCCTTGGTACCACAATTGATGGGAAAGCAGACTGAGTCTTGGTTGCAAATCTCACATGAAGACACCAGCAATGACCTTGGCAGCCCTTGTGTTTGTCCCAGAATTCTCTTCCAACAGGGGAAGTACTTGTTGATGCTTGCTCTGTGTGGGTATTTTCACAACCACACTCTCACCTCCCCCTGTGATGACCCTGTGAATTTGGTGGTGTAAGAAACATTTTACAGATGGCCAAAGCCCTTATGTGACAGACAGACCCAGGTTCAACCCAAGTCTGTCTACCTTTATGTCATCTACCATCTTCTACTCCATCATACTCCCCACCACGATTTTAGCTATTGGGCAGTTTGTGAGTATAGCATTATACTTTATCAATTCTCTTGAATTAAGATTTTATCTTAAAATGCTGGTGTGAAAAGACTGTGTATGTGTGTGTGTGATGCTGGGGACTGAAGCCAGGGCCTTCTGAATGCTAAGTATGTGCTCTACCCCTGAGCCTCATCCCAGGTCCAAGAAGACTTTCTTCACTCTGAAGTGAGGAAGGAGGAGGGAACCTTCACGGGGCTTTTGCAGGACTAGCTCATGTCAGAAACAACTGGCCCAAAACCAAATGCTTCCTGCAGATTACCAACAAGTGTTCGGAAAACTTGGATTTTTCAAGATAGAAAGGAACACAGGGGTTAAGATCATGAGCAACAGGGGTGGGGAGAACAGCTTCCAGGGACAAGGCCAGGCAAGGCTTGGGGGCTAGAGTGGACGTTTTTAGTTCCTTAGGGTACTAACTTCTGATTCTTCTTATTCCAGATGCAAAGGTCCATGAATCAGGGTCCTTGCCTCCACCTCTGCCCACATGGCAGAGTGTTGGCTAGAAAGAGGACTTCTCTGAGTTAGGGCTGCGTGGTGGTCCCCAGTGTGCTGTCCACTGCTGAATGGAAAAGCACTGGCCCTGGACCTAGACAGCCTGGACAGTCACTCAACCTTTGATCTTGCCTGAGCCTCCTCCCTCTGTGCTGCGAGGACTGGGTGATGTGAAAGCAGTTTGCACAACGTATAAGCACTAGTGAGACGTGAAGCACAGGCTAGTGTTACAGATAAGAGATTTGGGCTGAGATTCTTTGTAGAGGGAGACTGTGAACTGCCCAGTGTGTTTCGTCTGCAGAGAAGACAAGTCAAGCAGAATGTGATTTAGGAAAAAAAAATCTCCTAGTAGAAAGAGTGAGATTAAATTTCTGTTGGAAAGGCTAATTTCTCTTTTGCTTCCTTGATGAAACAGGAGAATTGAGAATTAAATGAAAAGATAATCCTTTCAAAGTCCCAGAAGATGGATTTGTCTGTTTCTGTCTGCTGTTCAGCTAGTTGCTATGACCCGCCAGTGGCATTACCATGCCCTAGTTCGAGAGCGTTATGAAGACGTGCAGAACCCTGTTGTTTAACTAAAGGTAACCTCCTCTGTGTGACTTCCTCTGCCTTCCATTTTAGATTCTCACTTAGACAACTAAGAGAGTGTATAGAAAGTATCACAAGTTGTGTCCTCCGGAACCTGCTCTCCAGATCATCAGGGACAGGGCCCCTGCTGCTAGGAACAGCTGTCTTGACCAGGGGGAGCTGGACTTGATGTTCTTTAGGAAAACAACTTTCATGAGAAACCTTTGGGTTTGGGGGAGCATGTATACCACCAGGGCTGTCGAGAGCAGCCAGGCCTAGGGGACATGTTTGGGAGAGTGGGTGAACCAACAGGAGGGACAGTGCCCCCCAACCTGTGTGCCATGCAGATGATTTAATTCAACCAGTGTCAAGAAGTAATGTCAAAATCTTTCTCCATGGAAGCTAGAATGCTAGCAGTGGAAAGCTGAGGAGTTGTTTCAGCTCCATGGAATCCTGAAGCAACCTGTGAGAGCCGCTTTGGGGAATCATTTGCTGAACCAAAACATTCTGGATCCACAAATGAAGAACTGCTACTGTTACGGTTTAGATGTGAGGTGTCCCCCAAAAGCTCACATGTGAGACCATGCCAGAGGGTTCAGAGGAGAAATGACTGGGTTGTGAGAGTCTTAATCAGTGAATTAATCTCCCGATAGGGACTAGCTGAGTGGTGACTGAAGGCAGGTGGGGTGTGGCTGGAGCAGGTGGGACTTGGGGCGTGGCTTTGGGGTATGCATTTGTATCTGGCAAGTGGAGCCTGCCCTCTCTGCCTCCTGATGGCCATGTGAGCTGCTTCCCTCTGCCACACTCTCCTGCCATGACATTCTGCCTCACCTCAGCCCCCAGGAACGGAGTCCACTGTCTATGGATAGAGACCTCCGAAACTGTAAATAAATAAACTCTTCCTCCTCTACAATTGTTTTGGTCGGTCCTTTAGTCCCAGCAATGAAAAAGCTGACTGAAACACTGTATTTAAACCACTTTAAATTGTACTCAATTTGAAATGAATCCACCCTAAGTGAAAGAAGCAGGACGGCAGGTCGGTCTGAATTAATTTTTAGTCATGGCCTTTGGTTACAAGGACCTTTAACTATGTGGTAACATATGCTTCTTATTATACCATCAAATTTTATTCATTTTTATCTGTTAAACATTTTTCTTTGAAGTCTACTTTACTATTTAATTCCCAAATTAGATTTTGAGTTTTCACATAAAAAGTTCATTTTGATTTTCCCAAACCCATTATTGATATAAGCTTGGTTTTTGGTGCAGTTGAAAACATGCTCAGTTCTTTTTGTTGTTGTTGTTTTGTTTTGTTTTTTGGTATGGGGACTGAACTCAGGGGCACTTGACCACAGAGCCACATCCCCATCCCTATTTTGTATTTTATATAGAGACAGGGTCTCACCTAGTTGCTTAGTACCTTGCTTTTACTGAGGCTGGTTTTGAACTTGAGATCCTCCTGCCTCAGCCTCCTGAGCTGCTGGGATGATAGGCGTGGGCTACTGCTGCGCCCACACTCTCAGTTCCATGTTAGAGAAAGGTCGTTTTCCATTTGTGCACTTCCAGGAGTTCTAACTGCTAGATGATCTTCCCCTGAAGACATGCATGTTTTCCTGAATTGCTTTCTTTGTCATTTTGTGGTATATAATCATGGAAATCATATTCATGCTATGATAGTTAAATTAGGCACAGAAAGAAAAGCAAATTTCCTGAATTAAAATTTTATGTCACTGGAACACTGTCACTCTTGATTTTATAACAAATACTAGCTCTATAAAACTAGAAGATTAGTTACATTGTGCTCTACATGTTTAATCTCAAAACTGTGTGATCTTATCATTATTAAATGAAAGTGAACATCTTCATGAATATGTCTGAATATCATGAGCTGCATTTCATACCAGTTAGCCAAACTTACTGAGAACTGTCATTTTCTTCAGTTCTAATGAAGGCAAAAATACCTAACAAATAGCCAGCCTTTAGAAATAAGGACGTCATCCACTAATTCATAAACAATTGTCAATATTATTCCCCAGTATGATTCTATCTCATATCACTTGTATATGGTACCAAAGCTTGGTCTCAGGCCTGGGGTTGTGGCTCAGTAGCAGAGAGCTTGCCTTGCATATGTGAGGAACTGGGTTTGATCCTAAGCACCACATAAAAATTAATAAACAAAATAAAGATATTTTGTCCTTGTAAAACTAAAAAAAAAAAGCTTGATCTCAGCAATCTCATATTTTATGTAGAAATAACATGAAAACTAAACTGAAATTCTTCTGGAAAATACTTCAGAATAATGCCTGGTTTCATGTTCATAATTACTCATAGAGTTACATAAAACATAGTAAAGCATGGTTCATTTGAAAGTCAACAGTCAAATTCAAAAATACCTTTCTATTACTAGGTTGCCTACTGTGTCTCTGGCTGGTACAACAAAAGTGCATACAGAAGAGCACCTCGACAGCATGGCCCTGGAAGACAGCCAGAGGCCTGCAGAATGCAGAAGCCCAGGCCCCGAGGGCTTGTCAAGGCACAGCAGGGCTTCCAGGGGGAGTGTGGACTACAGCAGGTCTCAGTGCTCCTGCAGGAGCCTGAGCTCCCACTACGACTATTCAGAAGACTTTGTCTCTGAGTGTTCAGAAGTAGCTGCCAGCAGGAATTTTTTAGGGCAACCTATGGCCACAGAAAAGAAAGAAGAGAATAAAAAGTATACTGCTTCTAAAACCGCCCAGCCCACAGGTAAGAGGCAAGATTTCTCAGCCAAGGCTGGATTCCTGGTTTTAATGATGTTATTATTTAACAAGCTAGTATTTTGAAGCAGTCCATGTTGTGTTTTGCTAACTCTCCATATTATAAATGTGTATTGAAGGTAAACTTTTGTGGAAGGAAATGGAAAGCAAAGAATTAAGGATAATTACAAAATAATAGAAAGTTTTAGCCGGGCACAGTGGTGCATGCCTATAATCCCAGCAGCTGGGAGGGTGAGGCAGGAAGATGGCAAGTTCAAAGCCAGCCTTAGCAACTTAGGCCCTAAGCAACTTAGCGAGATCCTGTCTCAAAAATTTTTAAAAAAATTAAAAAATAAGAAGGGGTCAGTGGTTAACCACCCTCTGGGTTCAATTCCTGATATGAAATAATAATAATAATAAGGTTTAAAACATGAAGTCTACTCCTCACATGGCTTACCCAAATGGAGCCACCTAGTGAGGCTGGTTCCATTTTCAGTTAACAGGTGGCCTTGTTACAGAGTACCACAGTACTTGGATTTCACTGGCTTCTTGCCTTTCATCTCAGCTGAAGAACCCAGGTTTGAACTGCCAATGAAATACAAATGCCTGTCTCAACACCCCAAGAGGACGGTCGCCAAGACTGGTGAGGCACATTGGCGAAGCCATCTTCTGGGCCAGAAAGGTTCAAAAGGCTGTTGTTAATAACTACCAACTCCACCAACTCCTGCCTGTCCAGGTTGGAGTCAGCCTTGTGACTGACCCCTCCCTCCTGCATCCCTGTCCCAGCTTGCATTCCTCCTGTAGGAGCAGTTGAGACTTTGTCACTCTGGCCATCAGTGCACCCTGGCCAACAGCTGGACATGCTTGAGAGCCTACCCTTGGGGGGCTCACCTGCCCCTGCCTCGCTTACCCAGGGCCTTTCCTCCCCAGCTGCTATGACCAGGTGTGTCCTGGATCCTCTGAGCTACTTCTGGGACATCCAGACTGGAGACCCTGTCTCCAAATAAAAATCATCCTTCTTCCTAGCTACAGAGCAGAGATTCTTCAATAATTTTTTTTTAATCTTTGGGCATTTGTTGTCTTTTATAGGGAGAAATGTTTCTCCAGACACCCAAGAGGTTAAAAGTCCCTTTCTAAGATGAGGGAATGGGCCTTCAAGGCCCATCACAAGGCTCTGGGCAGAGGAAGAAAAGTCTGCTTCCCTCTCATGGTGTGGCTCTGTCCAAGAAGTCTGCTATGGCATTTGGAAGAGAGCACAACAGAACACCTGCTGGGTCCTGCCGTTATACAACCCTTATCCACATCTGAAATTTCAAATCTCTAAAAAACCAACCTCTAGAAAAAACATTTATTTGGAAAAAAATTGATTTGAATTTACATGAAAGTGATCTTCATTTATCATATTTAGTGAATAGTTATATATTTTGCCATAAAAATATTGTTTGAGCTAAGCATGGTGGCAGTTGTCTGTAATCCCCACCACTCAGGAGGCTGAGGCAGAAGGATAGCAAGTTTGAGGCCAGCCTCAACAGTTTAGCAAGACCCTGTCTCAAAATAAAAAATAAAAAAGGATTGATGATATAGCTCAGTGGTAGAGCACACTTGGGTTCAAGCCCTAGTACCAAAAAATAAGATAGATAGAGCAAGCCCAGGAGTTAGAGACCAACCCGTGCCAACACAGTGAGACCCTGTCTCAAAAAAAAAAAAATCTAAAACAGCCTGTCCCAAGGGCTTATGATAAGGGATCCTAGATATATACATTATATTTTACATCAATTCTAAGCTTTTAAGGAACTATTTAAGAATGCAGTTGGTATCCATAAGACTATTTCTATAAGAAACTGCACCTTATAATTTAGCTTTTTGAAACTGATTTCTTGTTTATTTAGTCTACAAATATCTATTGAGTACATTATGCTCAAGATACCAATTCATAAACTGAAAGCAACCCGAATTAATTCAGTCACTTCTCAGGAGACTAGAGTCGTAAATTCCATTATCCAGAAGAGCAAAAGACGGACTCTTACTTGGGCATCATTGCATGTTTATTTGATATTCAGTTATTATTTTAAACCGATCTTGTGTGCATCTTGAGGACCCTTGCACCAGTATATAAAGAACCTGAAACACTAATTGTAACTCAAAGTTTTGACAGAGTGATAAATTATTTTTTGGTGGTTTCTTTTATTTTTCTGTTCCCATACAGCTTGTGTTTTACAAGTGTTTGCTGAAGTAACTTAAATAGCAAGTAATTTGTTCCATCTAGGGTGATACGATTCTAACCGAAAGCAAAGAGAGGCTTAATGTGTCGTGAGTCAATGTGGTCTCTTCCCCAGTGAATTCTCAGTGTCTTTTAAGTTTTCTGACATTAAAAGTAGATCTCTGAGTCTTGAGGGGTGGTGACATAGGATTAGAATCACCAATATAGACCAGGATTCACTAAAGAACAGTAACATTAGAGAGCAGTTTCAATTCCCAAATAAGAAAATTGAGGAAAGCAGATTTCATGGCATAAAGACCATTTCTTAGATAAAATCTTGAGAATGAAGGGAGGATTTCAGTTTGATAGGATTTTTGCTTTGGTCAAACACTAGAGATTTACTTAAATCATTGTAATAGCAAGAAACATTTCCACAGTTTGCTATTCAAAAACTGTTTCCTTCTTTTGTAGAAAAATGTACTTTCAAAATATATTCAATTAGCATATCCTGTTAATTAGAAAATTGCTTCCTTTGATATACGTCCTTGTCAAGACAGTGCCAAAATGTGTGATTGTCATTCAAACCATTGGTATGCCACAAAGGGGGCCACTGCACTAAGTTGCTCAAGACCCCTTTGCTGTGGTCCTTGGCCAGGCAGAGGGGAAGACCAGGATCTGCGGGAAAGACACCCTCTCTCAGACTGGACACAGAACTGCAGAGGACCACAGGGACAGGCCCTCCCTTTGAACCTCTGCATCCCTGGTCCACGGAGGAAGTGGACCCATCCTTTTGTAAGGGGAAATATAGTGTAGATCAGGAAGAGGGAGAGAAGAGCCTAAATCAGGCCCCAGCCAGCCCAGGAGAATGGGGATGTGATTCAGGATACCAGAACAGCAAAGGTGTGGGGACCATGGGGCTGCAGGGGGACAGTGTGACGAAAGGGAGAGGGACCAAGGAAGACAAAAGAGTGGCCCCACAGAGTACAGGAGGACAGCAGCACTTTCCAAAGAGGGGCTGGGCCAGGCGACCCAAGGAAGGGGCTTGGGAAAGATGCCAGCAAGAACAGAGAGGGAGCTTGGGGGCAAGGTGTTGGAGCCCATTGTAAGTATGTGAAGTGCCTTTGGGCTAATGTATGTATTTTTGTGCATTAGGTTAATCTGAGTGAGTGTTTTAGCTCAGCAGTTTAAGAATTAGTTATCCTAAGAGGAGTGTATTTGGTTCAATGTGCCTCATTGTGTGAAATAGGATCAAAACTATATATCAGGGCTGGAGTGTGGCTCAGCGGTAGAGAGCTTGACTCACATGCATGAGGCATGGGTTCTATCCTCAGCACCACATAAATAAGTAAAAGTATTGTACCCATCTACAACCAAAAAAAAAAAAAAAGTCTTCAAAAGAAACTGGGCTAGGGATATAGCTCAGTTGGTAGAGTGCTTGCCTCTTGTGTACAAGGCTGTGGGTTCAAACCTCAGCACCACAAAATCAAACAAAACTATATATCAAACCATTCTTATTATGTGTAGTTAATAATAATTTGATATAAAACCATTAAGGATTAAACCCTATTCCAGTTTTCCATAACCTCTGTAGTCAACAAGTGTGTGCCATGTATATACAGTGTGAACTTGCTGTATACCACCAAATGCGAGTGGTACCTGAGGGCCGCTGACAGACAGGAGCACATGGGGAAGGCAGGGCCTCTGGTCTGCCGTCTCCGTCCCTCACCCTGAGCTCTTCAGAGCACCCGCACCTCTGTGCACTCTCACTTTCTTCTTCTACCCTCCAGTCATCAAGGTGGCGTGGAAGGGGGCAGAACCCCCAGGCCCGCAGAGTGCACTGCCTCCTCCTCTTCTCAGGGATTCCTCTCGCTGCCCAAGAACTGGAAGGCATGACAAGCTGGGGCAAGTGTGGTCATGCTGGCAATGGCACAGGATGTGTCGCCCCGTCCATCCCTGTCTTAATCCAGCCTGATCCACACTGCCTTGTCTGGGACTCCCCTTGCCTCTGCCCAGGTACTAAAGCACGGGGCCTCCACCCAGGCACAGACACCATCCTCCTAGCAGGGTCCCAGAGCTGCCTGTGCTCTTCTCTACTTTTTAATGTGCTCTAAACCGACTCTAAAACACTCGAATATTCAGCCACAGCCGCTTCCCAGTGAGAAAACAGGTGCCTCAAAGGCACTGCTGCAGACAGTCCATCAGTTATTGATAGGATATCAATGCTGTGATTGCTATGAATCTCCTCAGAAAGCAGGCTTTGTGTCTGCCAGTTGACTTCCATCACGGGCAGAACTGTCCGTCCCGCCACCCAGGCCAAACACAGTACCCACGTCTCAGTGTGTCCCTGTGTGTGCCAATAGCTTCAGGTTAGGACTCCATGACCCTCTCCAGAATGAGGACCAGGTTATTTTAGATTTTAGAATCCATTTCCAATTTCCCTTCTTCAGAATATGAATATGTTTACAGGTATACAAATGCAAACATATTTACATATACAGGGGCACTTGGACGCATACACATATAGCATACAAGTCCACGTGCCCCTGGGGCAGAAGCATGGGCATGTAGACTGTGGGCTCTCACCACAGTGCTGAGCAACTCAGTGAGACTCTGTCTCCAAATAAAAAATAAAAAGGACTTGGGACAAAATTGCATTAATGATTTGGCAGGGGGAGGTGCCAGGGACACTCAGCCACTGAGCCACATCCCCAGTCCTATTGTATTTTATTTAGAGACAGGGTCTCACTGAGTTGCGCAGCACCTCACATTTGCTGAGGCTGGCTTTGAACTTGTGATCCTCCTGCCTCAGCCTCCTGAGCTGCTGGCATTAATGATACACACACACACACACACACACACAAATACATAGCCTAAAAGCATATATATTTATTAGTTATTAGCTCTCTCCCCTTCTAGTTATGTTTATGCATGTATATTGTGGGGGGTACACATATGTATATATTTGCATATCTACATATATTACTAGTAATAAACTGGATTGTCTGCTTACACAGGCCGGAAAGAAATCTCAGTCGAAAAAAAGCACAATTCATCTGTTTTTAATTCTCAAGTCAATATGATTGGCCAGAGAAGAGATGCCATTGCCCATCGAATACTCTCAGCCAGGCTTCACAAGATTAAAGAGCTAAAAAATGAATTAGCTGATATGCATCGGAAATTGGAAGCCATCATTATAGAAAATCATTTTTTGAAACAACTTCAGCTTAGGCACTTGAAAGCTATAGGAAAATATGAGAATTCACAAAACAATCTGCCTCAACTCACAATCAAACACCAGAATGAAGTAAGAAATTTAAGGCAATTACTTAGGAAATCCCAGGAGAAGGAAAGAGCTGTATCCAGGAAACTCAGAGAAACGGATGGCGAGTTATTAAAGACCAGAGATACCTTGCAGGCTCTACAGAAACTTTCCGAAGACAAAAATCTTGCAGAAAGGGAAGAACTGACTCAAAGATTATCTGCTCTTACGACAAAAATGGAGGCAAATGACAAAAAAATACAGGTCGGTATTTCAGAAGCCTAGAAATGTTAAGTCCTCACAATTAATACAGAGAGCACACATTGATCACGTTGGCCCCGTTACAGAGCATCACCAACTGCTCAGCTTGGCATGCTGCAGATGGTGTCTGGTGGAGACCAGGGCAAGGGAGAGGCTTAAAGAGAAACAGGAAAAGCTCCGATTGGAGAGGCCTGTGCCCCATTGCAGGGAACGCGAGTTCACTCTGGAGCTAGACTGATATAACTGAAAACCAGGCTGCCCCCAGGCAGGAGGAAGACTTAGCGAGTGTGGAAAGGCTGACCCGCCTTGTGCAAAACCTCCCTTTCAAATCAGCCCTTTATGAACTGTTATTAAAAGCCTGCCCCACCAAAATCTGAATGCGGCACCCATTCAGCCCATTTTCTTGTCTCCTCCCTCATCAGTTTGGCCCATCATTACCAAATAGACATTTTTAGTTGTTTTTTTTTAAATAGGAACTTTTCCCAGAATTCTCCCTGGAACAGGAAAGAAAAAGGAATTAAAATAACTGATGAGTGAATTGACTTCTTCAACAGCCCTAAGTTGTCAGAAGCCTGGGTACATTAGAAGGAAAGAGTTGGGAGAGGGCCCTGATGGTGTAGAGAAGTGTCCTGCCATATTGCATTGAAGGAAGTTTGGGTTTTTTTTATGGACATAAGTGGAATTCATTTACTGTTCAATTCTTTGATATTTGATGGCAAGAGACAAACATTTTCCATGATCTTGAAGTAAGTAAATATCAAATTCATTCCATCCATGTTTTTTTTAATCTCAGTTATTTCTTCCTTTTTAAAATTCTCTACTTACAAAGAGAATTGTCTCAATAAAATTGATGTACGAGGTATAATAACTAGTGAGAAACCTCTGTTTCACTATTGTATACCAAAGTCATATATTTTGCCTTTTGGCTAATATTAGATCCATCTTAGCATATGTCTTTCATGTTAAAGTAAATGTATTTTTATCTTATCTATGTATTTTATATATAAAGGTTTAAGTCGCTTATTTTTATACCTATAGACAAAAGCAAAGCAAATTTCAGAATTAGCTACTTCTTGGCTATCAGAAGCACATGATAATGTGGGAAATTTTGGTTTGGTCACAGGGCATTTAGTGGAGGAGAAATTTCTGTGAATCAAAACATGTAGGTTGGGGCTGGGGATGTGGCTCAAGCGGTAGCGTGCTCGCCTGGCATGCTTGCGGCCCAGGTTCGATCCTCAGCACCACATACAAACAAAGATGTTGTGTCCGCCGATAACTGAAAAATAAATATTAAAATTCTCTCTCTCTCCTCTCTCTCTCCCTCTCTCACTCTATCTTTAAAAAAAAAACATGTAGGTATTTTTTAACTATCAGTATTTTAGAGAATGAGATTTTTTGTGTGATTTCATCTTTTGAGCTTTCTGTTTTCCACTCTTCTTTAATGGAAAAGTATCATTGTCATAATGGGAGGACCCCATTTCATCTAAAAAAGAAAAAGCCCTTCAGCTAAGCCTTCTATCAAAAGTTCAGAACATTCTCTAGTAAAACAGTGGCAGGAAGCCCGTGAATCCACGCGTAGATGGTGACCAGGTTACCTTGCTGTTATCCATCTGTGTGGACACACGGTGAGTCCCCCTTACACCTTGTAGCATCTGGTTTCTGCAAATGGCTGAGACAGTCTGTGCTGAGCTGATCCCCCTGTAAGAAGGGTAGAGAGGTTCTGGAAGAGGACCCCATGCAGAGTTGGCAGGGTAGTTCAGTTAGGCAGCACTGCTTAGGTTTATATCTAAAGTATGACATGATATTTATTGATTTTTCAGGATATGTCCAAATTTTTGCCAAATTCCAGAATGATTTAAAAAAAAAAAACACTGGGACATCGAACTCAAAGCATGATATTTATTCTTTAGAAATGAGATCTGAGAATTTGGAGGAGAGCCGGGGTGTTAATTGGTTTTAATCTGTGCCTACTAAGCAAGCCATTTGCTAAATTGTATTAAAAATTTGCAACTTCTCATAAATGTACTTAGTTCCTTTGTAATTGAAGTTTTTCATAATGCCAAATTGGTTACAGAATAGTTGAAATATATACTGCTTTCAGAGCTTGGAAAAACAGCTGAGGTTGAACAATCGAACCTTCAATCGGCAGCTGGCTATCGAAAATCGGAAGACTTTAGCCGCTTTTGCAGCCACAAAGACTCTGCAGATGGAAGTCAAGCGCCTGCAGCAAAAACTCAAGGTATGTCTTTCAAAACAACACATTAGAACACTGTGAAATTCTGTGTCCCAAAATATCAGAGCCATTTGTATCTATTATGCCTTCAGATTGTTTAATATCATGTGTTTCCTAAGATCTTTCTTTCTTTTTTCTTTTTTCTTTTTTTTTTTTTGGTACCAGGGATTGAGCCATATCTCCAACTACTTTTTTATATTTTATTTAGAGACAGGGCCTCCCTAAGTTGCTGAGTCTGGCTTTGAACTCACAATCATACTCATGAAGTATTACAGGTGTGCACCATTGCGCTCAGCCTTAAGATCTTGGTCAGACAGATCTACAGCTGTTAGAATGAGCTCACATCCTGGTGAATATGTACTGCAATTAGAAAAATTAAAGCCCTGTTCCATTCACTCATAAGACTTCTTGTTATCATTTTCATTTCATCACATTAAGTAATATTATTGCATTTTGTTAACAGTTTAATGTAGTTCAAAATAAGTCTTTAAATTTAAAAAAAAATAACTTATAATATCATAGTATTAAGGGTACATGTTAATGGTCCATAAATTTATTTAAGGTCTCACTTGCAAAGACCTTTGCAAAACTATCTTTTGAAGTCTGCACAATGTTTTAAAAATAAGATTTAAAAAAAAAATTTTTTTTTCCTGTGCTGGGGATCAAACATAGGGCCTCACACATGCTAGTCAAGTGCTCTACCACTAAACTACATCTGCAGCTAGCCTCAAGAATTTTTAAAATATTTCTTTTTACAGTTTGCCATCTCTCTGCCTTCAAGATTTCTAAAATGTCCAATGATTTGGAAAAGCTAGAGAAGACAAGGAAGAAATACCTATTTTGAACCTCCACTAATAAAAGTTAAGCTTCACTCTTTGGGTCAAGGATGTTTGGCCTTTATAGGCAAGTAGGGAATTTTGACTTCCTGGGAGCCTTAGGTGGGAACACCCAGAGACAGGGAAGGAAGAGGGCTTGTAGACATAAATTCTCCTTTGTAAAGTAGAGAAGAGTTTTTCTGCTCTTTTTTTTTTTTTTCCTCTGTAGTTTCAGGAAACTTAAGAAAGAATGTGCCAGAAAATGGACATGGCTGAAACAACCAGCTTAGAAGTCTGACAGAGAGGCTTCAGGACCCACTGGTCAAGGCAAACATACATGTGGAGACATAATCAGGGGATTTTTAAATAAATTGCATGCTTCCTTATACAGCTATATGAATATAAATAGTTGCACTAAAAACCCTTTCTGACAGGAGAAATGCTTAGTACTTACTGAAATGCTTAGTGAAAAGAAAACCACAAAATTCTATATAATAAGATCCAAATTAATATTTTTTTATTTTTTTATTGGTTGTTCGAAACATTACAAAGCTCATGATATATCATCTTTCATACATTTGACTCAATTGGGTTATGAACTCCCATTTTTACCCCAAATACAAATTGCAGAATCACATCGGTTACACACTCACATTTTTATCTAATGGCATATAAGTGACTGTTGTATTCTGCTACCTTTCCTATCCCCTACTATCCCCCCTCCCCTCCCCACCCATCACCCCTCTCTACCTCATCTGCTATTGTTCAATTCTCTCCCTTGTTTCCCCCCCCTTCCCCTCACTTCCTCTTCTATGTAATTTTGTATATCATTGAGGGTCTCCTACCATTCCAAATTAATATTTTAAAAGGAAAGTAAATGTATCCTTCATAATGTATTTCAATGCATCTGTGAAATGGAAGAGGTTTGGGAATGTAGCTCAGTGGTAAGCACTTGCCTAGAATACCCAAGGTCCTAGGTTTGATCCCCAGCACTGCCAAAAAAAAAAAAAGAAGAAGAAGAATCTTTATGTACTGTTATGAAGTAATCTCTAGGGTATATGGGTAAGTAAAAAAAGAAGGAAAGTTGCAGTATGCTACCATTATGGTTTGGATGTGAGGTGTCCCCAAAAAACTCATGTGTGAGACAATGCAAGATGATTTAGAGAAATTATTGGGTTATGAGACTCTTAACCTAATCAGTTAATTAATCCCATTATGGGTAACTGTTGGTAACAGAAAGTAGGCAAGGTGTGGCGGGAGGAGGTGAGTCAGTAGGGGCATGCATGCCTTTGGGGCATATATTTTTTATCTGGCAAAGGATCTCTCTGTTTTCTGATTGCCATGTCCTGAGCTGCTTCCCTCCACCACACTCTTCTGCCATGATGTTCTGCCTCACCTCAGGCCCAGATCAATGGAGCTGGTTATCTGTGAACTGAGACCTCTGAAACTATGAGCCCCCAAATAAACTTTTCCTCCTTTAAAATTGTTCTTGGTCTGTTAGTCACAGCAGTGAAAAATTGACTAAAACAGAAATTGGTACCAGAAGTGGGGTTGATGCAGTGACTAATCTGATCATGTGATTCAGAAGCTTTTGGAGCTTTATGGAATTTGCAGAAGGAATTTTGAGATGCTTAGTCATTCAACTGGAAAGCTTTAGATTGTTGTAAATTGAGCTTAATAGCAGATTCTGGTGGGAGCTCAGAAGACCAGAATGTCAATAAGACTACAGACAGTGAAGACAGGGCTCCAGAAGGTTCAGACAAGGAGGACTTTATTGGAAATTGGACTAGAGGCCATTCATGTTATGTTCTGGCTGAGATGTTGTCTGCATTTTTCCCATATCCTGAGACTTTCTGTGAGGCTGATTTTGAAGTAATGGACTTCTTAATCTGGAAGGAGAAATTTCTAGGCAACATAGCATGATGCTAGTAGCTTTTAACCAAGTTTATTGTGTTATTCAGGAGTAGAAAGACTTGAAAAACTTGGACTTCAAAGGTGGGAATAAAACTGGGGCTAAGGAAATTGAATTATTAAAGACATTATTGCCACTTAAGAAATTCTAAAGACTTTGCCCAGAGGCAATAAGAAAGATGGCTTGAGGCTATCTCAGGAGCTGGCAAGACCAAACCCATCTCAAACTCAAGGGAGTAAAGGTGAACATTTTCTTGAAAAGAGACCAGTAGGGTACCCTTCTCACACAAGGGGACCTATGAAGGTTTTTCGACATGCTCAGCTACCCAGGCACTCAGAGGCTGCTGCAGCTAGTATCCCTGGAGGCTTGGCTACTGCTGGAGATGGCAGCAGACCTTGATATAAACCATGTGGTACTAGTTCTGCAGGAATGAAGGATGCTGGGAGCTTCCACCATGATTTCAAAGGAAGTCCTGGGAAGTCAGGCAAAGTGCAGCAGGGTCAGAGTCCCTGCAGGTACCCCCTGAGAGGGTAGTCCGTGGAGATGTGAAGAGGAAGTTGAAGTTGCAATGGAGACCCCAAAATTAAGAAATGCCAGTAATGTAGGACATCATCCTAGGAAAGCTACAGCAATTGGGCAGAGACAAGCCAACATAGAGGCCAAGTGGGCTGCAACCAACAAGGCCACAGGGACAGATCTATACGAGCCCTTTGGACAGAACATCATGATGCCATGAGCTCCAGATGCCAGTGAGCTACAGGACTTGTCTGCCCAGCTGGGTTTTGCTCTGCTTTGATCTCAGCATCCTTCTTTCTATGCCCCCATTTTTCTGAATGGAAATGTTTACTCTGTATCTTCATAACTGGATACTTATAAATTGTTTTTGATTTTTACAGAACTCACAGCTGAGTTTGCCCTTAGTCCGGAGGAAACTCTGGACTTGAATTTTGGGGCAATCTTGGAACAGTTTGGGGATCTTGGAATGGACTAAACATATTTTGCATTGTAAGAAGGTCACGAGCTTTTGGAGGTAAAATGTGATGGCTTGGATTTGAGGTGTCCCCCAAAAGCTTTTATGTGAAACAACGCAAGGTTTAGAGGAGACGTGATTAGGTTATGAGAGCCCAAACCCAATTCTCCTGCATTAATCCTCTGCTGGATTAACTGAGGGGTAATTGAAGGCGTGTTGGGTGTGACTGGAGGAGGTGGGCACTGGGGTGGGTGTATATTTTGTATCTGGTAAGTGGAGACTTTCTGATCATCACATAAGCCACTCCCTCCACCACACTCTTCTGCTACAATGTTCCCTCAAGTCCCAAGGAATAGAGCCTGCTATCTGTGGACTAGGACCTCTAAAGACATGGTCCCCAAAATAAACTTTTCCTCCTCTAAAATTGTTCTTGTTGGGTCTTTTAGTCAAAGAAGCAAAAAATGCTGACTAAAACAGCAACCACTTTAGAAAGGGGAGGCAATACAGATTTCCCATATATTTGCTTATATTTTAAGGAGAAAAAGAATGGGATAGAAGAAACAGACATAGAATCTAGATTTCTTGAATATATTTTTGGTAAATTTGACTTTACAACTATACTAATATTTTGCAAAATTATAAAGCAGAACTAAATGTTAAAAAAAAATCTAAAAACCTATCCCCCAAATCCAAAGTAAGATGAAAAAATAAAATTAACTCAAATTTATATTCCTTTGATGGCATAATGTCATGGAGAAAAACAATTCCAAGTGATTTCATTTATTGTATGTATACTGTATCACATACATACATGAATTGTATTATATTACAATCAAACATTATATTATATATTGTATGTGATTTATTGCATGCAATTAAATACACTGAGATGCACTGTAAGGTCAAAAAAAATCACTGTTTTTAGTAGTGATAGTGTTGATATTGTTATTTTGAGAATGTAGTATTAATCCCTATGGAGCATGATGAATTATGTTGGTATCATTGAGAACTAGGATTTGGGGATGTAAGAAAGAAAACACAAAGCAAGAAAAGGTAAACTAAATTAACTAAGGTTAACTATTTTTGACCTTTCCTATATTGAACTCTTCCTCTCTCTCTCACCTGACAAAGTTCCAAAATTCTAATCAGAGCCAGATCCCATCCACAAGAACTTCCCATTTAGAACTCTGTATAGGCCCCACCCTGGAAGTACACCAATCTAGTCTGTCCAGACAAAACTCCAATGAACAGCCATGGCCCTTCCATCCTGCTTTGCACTGGTGAGAAGGGAAGCTGAGAGCCATCCCAACCAGCTTCGAACCCAGACACTCCACTGGCAGCTTGGCAAGTGACACAAGAGGAGGAAAGGTTTGCCAATCCCAGCTCTTGCTCTAAGGGGTACACAGCCTAAGAAGAGACTCTGGCATAGACTTTGAATACCCACCACTGTCCATGCTTTCAGCTACCTCAGTGGAGACAACACTTTTTTTTTAATAATTTTTATTGTAGATGGACACAATACCTTTATTTTATTTTATCTTATTTATTTATTTATATGTGGTGCTGAGGATCGACTCCAGGGCCTCATGCATGCTAGGCAAGCGCTCTACCACTGAGCCACAACCTCAGCCCACTTTCAATTTTCTTTAAAAAAATTTTTGTTGGGGGCTGGGGATGTGGCTCAAGCGGTAACGTACTTACCTGGCATGCACGGGGCACTGGGTTCGATCCTCAGCATCACATAAAAATAAAATAAAGATGTGTCCACCGAAAACTGAAAAATAAATATTAAAATTTTTTTTTCTCTCTCTCTCTTTAAAAAAAAATTTTTTTGTTGGGCTGGGGTTGTGGCTCAGCAGGGGAGCGCTTGCCTTACATGTGTGAGGCACTGGGTTCCATCCTCAGTACCATATGGACACAACACCTTGATTTGTGTCCATCTACAGCTAAAATATTTTTAATATTTTTTGTATTATTCTTGTGTTTCTAATTGGTTCATGTATATGCATATATATATATATATATATATATATATACACACACACACACACACACAGTTGTTTCTGTCTTCATCTTTGTTTTTTTATTATCCTTTTGTTATTTTACTTTGGTTTGTTTTTTGAGGGTCAGAGTGTTTATTTTTTGTTTTGTTTGTTTGTTTCTCTTACTACTCTTTTTCTCCTCTTTTCCCTCCAAGTAGCAAATTCATTTTCCTCCTTCTCCGTCTTTATGGCCTTCATTTGCTACCTCCCTTCTTCTTTCTTTCTCTCTTTTCATCTTTTGAATATTCAAAACTTTCTTTTGCCTTTCTACCCCATTTTCTTAATGAACTGTATTCTTACCAGTTTTAGAACTATTTAGTTCATATAATTTCTTCCCCACCATTCATGCCCTGCAGTTATTAGTGCTGTGGCTGTCATGGTTGAAACCTGGTGTTCGACTCAATGCCATTTATCTAGCTCTCAGTTGTCTGCTGCTGCTGGTGGTGTGTGTTGTCGACCCCACGATCCCTATTTTTATGGTTATATCAGTCATAAATGTCAGAGTAGGCCCATGGTAGTTCTTTTGATGTTGTCTATTATTCACTGCTGTTGTTACTGTTATCTCAACCATTTTCTGCAAGATGCTGGGAATCTGGTGTGGTACTGTGAGTTCACGGGGTAGATACTCTGAGCTACACCCCCAGCTCAACTAAGTAACAGCAGCCTTGCTCCACATGCAGTTCAACCCTGTCAAACTTCAGCAATAGTTTAACAGAAAGAATAGAGGAGAGAAAAGCCCTTATCTGACGGCCAGTCCCAAAGAATAAATGGCTAGGGAGGGGCCTCAGGTTCCACACAGGGACACCTACAGTAACAGCAGAGCAAAATACCACAAAAGACCAAGGACACCACACCTACAAGGTTCCTCAGTCTCACTCACTCCCACACCCTTTCAGAACACACACAGTTGTCAAGTCTAGATGAGCAATCATAGAAGGTGTACCGTAAAACCCCTGCTGTGTTCAGCAAAATACCCAGCCCTCTAGAAGGACCCTACTCCAGACCTACAGGGAAAGTGGATCCTCAGGTTCTGATGCAATAGATACTATATCAAAGAACACTAATCACCACCAAAGAACCAGCAGGGAAACTACTACAAAACCCAACTGGAAATATATCCAACGATTTACCTCAGACTGATATCCCAGAGCGCTTCACCAAGAAAAGGCTGTGCCCTAAAAAGACCCTCCCATTAAAGTGGAAGAGAAACAGAAAGGAAACCAGTGGAGGAGAGTAAGGGAACCAGAGGGAGAGAAAGGGGAGGGGAAGGGGAGTTCGTAGGGAGTGAAATCCACCAAGTTATGTGCATGTACAAACAGGTAATTATAATGTACTGTAGAAAAAAATATAATGGGATGATAGGAAAAATGTGAAACCAAGTGGATATTGGATGATATTAAGGTTTACTATTGATTTTGGAGGGTGGAATGATACTGTGATTAGGTTTTAAAAGACATGCTCTTCTCTTCAATAGATGCTGAAATATTGACAGATTAAATTACAATACCTAGGGTTTGCTTAAATAACTCAGGGCAGGTCATGGGGTCAGGAAGAGTGGTGTGGGGCAAGAGGCCGTGGGTTGCTCACTACTGACACCAGGACAGGAGTTCGCGGAGCCACTGAACTGCTCTCTCTATATTTCATATTTGTGACATTCTCATAATAAAAAGTTTTCAGGGCTGGGGATACACCTCAGTTGGTAGAGTGCTTGCTTCACATGTATAAGGCCTGGGTTCAATCCCCAGCACCACACACACACAAAAAAAAAAAGTTTTCAAAAGGAAAAAAAAAAGTAAGAAAATTATATTTATGTACCTACAGAATGGGTAAAAATGGTTAGAAAAAAAAGGCTGTGGGTCTGGGGCTGGGGCTGGTGATGGAGCGCCTGCCTAGCATGTGTGAGGCACTGGGTTCAATTCTCAGCACTGCATAGACATAAATAAAAATAAAGGTCCAGGACTGGGGATGTGGCTCAAGTGGTAGTGCGCTCGCCTGGCATGCGTGGGGCACTGGGTTCAATCCTCAGCACCACATACAAATAAAGATGTTGTGTCCGCGAAAACTAAAAAATAAATATTAAAAAAAAATTCTCTGTCTCTCTCTCTCTCTTTAAAAAAAAAAAGTAAAAAAACAAAGGTCCATTGACAACTAAAAAAATAAAAAAGGCTGTTTTTTGTCCCTTCCTGCCAAAGCTCTATGGAAATAACAGAAAATTTATTTTTAAAGTAGTAATTCACCCCAAAAAGGATACCATGATTGTACCAGAGCCACCAAAGAACTTCAAGATGATAAAAAGCAGGTGTTTTCAGATTGATGGAGACACCAGACAGACAATGACAACCTAAAATGCACATAGCTAAAATCCTGAAGAGGTGACAACAGGACATGGAAAGAAACCCCAAACTCAGAATCCACAGAGTGAATGAAAGGACTAAGTGGAGCTCATCAAGGCTCTGGGGGGGAAAGTCCACTGCCTGCCTGCCCCCCCTCTGCCATCAGCCCTCAGGTGGCCCCTGGGCATCAGCAGCCTTCCTGCAGTGGGGCGTCCTGAGAGCTACTGGCCTCGCAGCAGGCAGGTGAGGAGGACAAGAGTGAGAACGTGCAGGTGGGTGACCTGCACAGCCTGGAGCAGCATTCACCAGCGGCAGAGTGCTGAGGAGTGAGTACACTGCTCCACAAGAAATGGGGTACTGGCAGAAACTTGGGTCCCAGCGAAGTCCTTCACGGCTGGAGTCTGGAATCCAGGAGGAACTCAGTGAATGAGTCACCTCACAGTGAGGCCTGTCAGTCGGCACCTTCCTTCCCATTCAGAAAGAAGCTAGAGAAGCACGTTGCCACACAGCCCAGCAGGACATAAGATAACCCAGGCACTTCTCAGAGGAGGACATACAATCAATCAACAAGTACATGGAAAAATGCTCACCATCTCTAGCAGTCAGAGAAATGCAAATCAAAACCACCCTAAGATACCATCTCACTCCAGTAAGATTGGCAGCCA